CCACGTCATCTTCTCATTAAAGCGCAACAGCATACCACATCAGTTCGAACCCTGTGAAATCCATTTATTAAAAGTTCTAAAAAGTTAAAATCCTTAGACAATCCCGCTGGTCCGACAGAAAAGACAATCCTCTCAAGTTGGTTAAAAGTTTTATTTTGGCTTTATCGTTTGCCATCTCCACTTCTAAAAATCCCGAAATCTCGCATGGTTTTCTCTAAATCTCTCCACTTCTAATTCTATCAATACTATTTTCCCCCGAATTAGTTTTTTTGTCTTCTATTAAAAGCGATTCCCCAACCAATCACATCTTCAGGGATCTTTCGATTCATCGGCCTGTGGAAAAACGAAGGCTTGCTACGAGCCGACTACTGGTGATGCTGTCTCTTATCGGTAAGCTAGAAATTTTTTTTTTAATTACCGTAAAACCTGTAATAGAAGGACCCCCTAATTTTCAGTTTTGAGCCAATTTATCTCGGTTCCTGATAAAGATATAAACAATTTGTCAACTGATAAATTGTTTATCATAATATCCTATACATTTTATTAGTTGACACATTTTTGATATCTCTGATAGGAGCTGAGATAATTGAGCTCAAACTTGACAGTGTGGGGGCCCTTCTATTACAGGCTTTACGGTATTTCTTCCCCCAATTTTCAATTCCAGCGTCATCAACCCATCTTCCATCGAATTCGAATTCTCATCCACCCAATCCTCGCCGTCTGGCGTCTACCTGGCACTCGGTTTCTCATCCGACGGAAAAATGTCGCCAGCCGATGTTATCGAATGCTCATCGCTTGGAAATCAGGCACTCTCGATGAAATTCTCAGCGAATTCTGGATATTCCAATTCAAGAATCGACGGAGAAGAAGACATCCGTTCTCAGTATATCACCGACACCCAAACTTCGTACGCCGATGGAAAAATCTATTGTAAAGGAACAGTGAAATCGGACGGAAATGCCAACACCCAGATTTTCAAGTGCACTCCAGATCAAAAGTATTATCTGATAGTTGCAAAAGGAGCGACCAGTGCTGGTGGATTAGGATATCACGGTCAGAATGGTAAACACGTGTCATCCCAACGTCTTCTAACCGATCTCAGTGCTGGAAATGGGTCAGGATCAACAGTCACCCTTGTCATGCTTCACGCTATTTTCATGACGGTCGCCTGGATGACGATGGTCCCAACTGCCGTTATTTTCGCAAGAGTATTGAGGTCTTCATGGCCCACGTTGAAGCCCGGAGGCTTGTTGATCTGGTTCCACGTGGGTTTTTATCCAAACAAGTAGGTCATTTCATTAGAAGGCTTTCAGATCCATCGTGGCGCCAACCTCATTGGAATCGCCCTTATGATCGCTGGCTTCGTGCTGATTCTGGTGCATAAGGACTGGAAGTTCGTGACAGCTGGATGGGGTGGAAAGCACGCGATCATAGGAATCATCGCACTGTGTTTGGCATGGTTGCAACCGTTTATCAGTACCCTCAGATGCTCGCCAAACGATCCGCGGCGGCCGATTTTCAATTATATTCATAGAGGAATCGGAGTGATCGCAATGGTCTTGGCTAGTGAGTTTCAAAATTTTTTGTATAAAAATGCATAAAAAACTATGTAGATTCATATTGCAACAAAGAAAAATCGCAAAATATCGAAAAATTGTTTCAAATGAACACTTCTGGAAGGTTCTAGAATCTATTTTTTGAATTCCCGCCAAAACTGAAAACTTTGAAAAATTGGCGATTTTTTTTTGCGATTTTTCAAAAGAGAAATACATTTTTTCTTCGATTTTTCGCCAAATTTTTAGACTTTTTTAGGGGTTTCAGCTATTTTTGAATATTCTATTTCGATTTTTCCGAATTTTTTGTCGGAATTTCGACGGGATGATGCTCGCGAAGATTACTGTAGATTACTGTAGAAGCCAATTTCGTTGCAGTTTTTTTGCAAAAAAAAAAACTACAAAAAATACTACAGTAACCTACAGTAATCTTCACGAACACCATCGAGTCAAATTTCAGACAAAAAATTTGGAAAAATCGAAAATGAATCTTTGAAAACAGCTGAAAAATCTAAAAAGGTCTGGAAGTTTTGCGGAAAATCGCAGAAAAATATCTAGTTTTCAGTTCTAGCAGGAATCCAAAAACGATTCCAGAACCTTCCAGAAGTTTCCAGATATGGCCTATTGAAGCGATTAAAAATGTTTCCTTGTTGCTAATTAATTCTCTACATATTTCGATGAAAATGACCCATTTAAATTTAAAATGAATTCAAAATTCCAGCCACCGCTATCTGTATCGCTGGATATCATTTCACTGGCAACCGAAACGTCGTTCAATTAGTTCTCGCTCTCATCCCGATCTCTGTCATCTTCGCTCTCTCAATATTCTTCATAATTTTCAATAACCTCGTAGACGTCGACACAAAATCATTCACCAAGGTATGATTTCATTAGAGCGCACTTGCCAAAATTGTCCTCTTCAAAACTTTTTTCCTCTGTAGCACCGCACTGTAAACATATTTCAGCAGAATGGAAACAGCTCTGCTCGCATTGAAGACATCCCTATGAGACCGACTTCGAAGACGGAGACGGAAACCACGTGGACAATAAGATCACCACAGAGCGCGGCGTCACCGGATAGTGACAGTAGTCGGAATGAAGTGCCACTGGAAAAGAAACGGCTTTGGGTAGGTTTTGGCACTCTTCCCTAGTGTTGTCTTTGGTGTCAATGGACTCTCATTGTCACATTCACTTATTTTAGGTTATCAATTTTCAGGTGAACCGATTCCGCGAGCTCGTCGTCTATGGCGCAGTTCTAATCTTCGTGGCAATCGGTACCATTCTCTCTGTCTTTTTCGCTCTTGGACTTAATGGAAAATAATATCTTATTGAAAATTGAAATTTCTTGTCAGAAAAAAATCTTTTTACCGGTGACCCAAATTATTATGTATTGTTTCCCTTATTCATCTGTTTTCTTGTGAATAGCTTTAACTCGAATTCTTCTCTCTGTGAAATGAAATGTTCCCCTTTGAATAGACTGTATAGTCCGACTAACAAGAAGAGCAAATAAATTAATGAAAAGCATTGGGCGAGGGGGGTGAAGAGCAAAGAAATAAAATAATTATCTCATTTTGAGCAAGAGAGCAACGGGCCCAACCGCGCTCGCTGCCATTCATTTCCATTGAAAGCATTCAGAAGGACTAGAAAACGAAATAATGCAATTGGTATGTGTATATGTACACCCCGGAGCCAGACGGGGCGAGGCGAGCACCATATTGCCCCCGTTTTCGACTAAATGCATTATCTCTAAAAAGGGGCAAAGAGGGAGGGGAAGAAAACGATAAGCGGATGGAAGAGACATTTGGGAGAAAACCAGTTATTTCCAATTAGCTCATCCTTCATTACGTCGCATTTTCGGATTTACAGTTTTTAACGCTTTATAATTGCTACAAAACACTTAACCAGTAATTTTTTTCTTTTTTTGTCTAGCCATGGTATGAGAACCTCAATTTGAAATTTGGAGCCAATTTCGGACGAGTCGCGTGTCGGCGTTACGGTCTTCAGCGACTCAAAAACGCTTCAGTTTTCAAAAAACCAAATTCCGGAAAATTTGAAAACTGGCACATTTCTCTAGGTGCCCGTTCGCCATGCAGTGTTTCTACAGTATCCCTTACTTTCGTGACCAAACGTATTCACATTTAAAACGATTCGGTGTGATCTTCACTGAAAATTCAAAAGCATTTTTTTCCGAAAAAAACGACAGTACCTCGATTCAAATTTTAGTGCCAAGTCAAGTTATGCGTAGCGTGTCTGCGAGAGCGGTCGCTAACGGAATATTCAACGATCGCTCAAACAGCTTCAATTTCCGGAAAATTTTTTGAAAAAGAAACCAATGCGTAGCCAAATTTCGTGTGCACTCCTGTGTGAAATACTGACATCTACCGTATTTTCGCTAATAAAAGCTCATCCTATACTTGCACTTTGAGCTCAATCATCTCAATTTCTATGAGAGATATCAAAAATTTGTGAACTAATAAAATGTTTGTCATGATATCACCAATGTTTTATCAGTTGATAGATTTTTGATACCTCTTATAGGAACCGAGATAAATTAGTTCAAAGTTCAAGTATAGGGGTGACCTTTTCCTCCAAAGCTGAGCTTCTGAATTCTGTAAAAAATAAGCTCCCAGTCGATTTCATTTCTTCCGTTCTAAATTTTTGTATTCAACATTTCTCATCTCCCCTTTCCCTCTCTTCTTCCTTGTTTCCAATTGTGCTTAAAATCCTCTGGAGGTTAGAAAGGAGGTTAAACCTAAATGAATTTGTGTATGTGTGTGTTGCCTTCTGCTTCCCTTTCTCTATTTTTCGTTCAAATGAGAGCTTTTACAAAAAAGGGATACTTTATACCACTCTCCTCTCTCATTTTATTCATGTCTTCTCTTCCCCCGGTCCATCAAACAAAATACCACGGAATAAGAGAGAAGGTTAAAAGTGAATGAGAGCAAAATTGGAAGATATGTGGTGGGGGCTCCAAATTGATAGATAGAGACAATGGGACACTGAGAAACGCATGAGAAGAGACGAATTAACATTTTGATAGGAGTCGGAAAACGGGGTCCCAACTAGACTCCGCCCACTTTTTTCGTAATGAAGGACTTGCCACGCCCCGTTTTCCTGATGATGATGTTGATGTGGGAAAAGAGAGAGAGATGGAAAAAATAGAGGAGAGCAGAAGAAACGCAACACAACAAGTTTAATGAAATTGTCATTTTCGTTTCGTCCTCTCCTTTTCCGATACACTTGATTTGCGCCCATCCCCCGTTCTATTCTGGAAGATTCTAGAATATTTTCAGGAGGTTGGTTTTTGTAAATTCAAAAATTCTTCAAAAAAATCTTTAGTGGTTTGCAAAGTTTGTGATGATTCGATTAACCTTTAAAAGAGACAAACACTTTTTCGAGATTTTTGAAACTCTTCAAGCCTGCAACTTAGAGCCTATATATCTCGTTTTCGTTAAAAGCTATCAAAAATTGTTAATTTATAAAATGTTGGTGATATGATAATAAACATTTTGTCAGTTGGCGGTTTTTTGATGTCTTTTACAGGAAATGAGATAAATTGGCTCAAAGATAGTGTCGGCGTTCTATTAGAGAGTTTACAATAACTTTTCTTCGAAATTGTAATTATGACTTCTCCTGAATCAAATTTCGAAAAATTTCAGGAACTAGGCCAACGTCTCCTACAGGCCTCCTTGCATTTTTCAATATTCGATTAGTCCTCCCACCTTTCAGCTGCTCTTTGATTTATTAAAGGCGGCTGGAATCAGATGGCAAAAAGAGCAGATGGAAAACATAAATATATTCATTCATTCATCATGTTTTGTATTTGGAAAACTCGAGAAATTCGTATTTCAATTAACTTTTCACTTGATTGTAGTTTAGATTATAGACCCTCCATTTCGATCTTCATGAGCTCCCGGAGCAGAAAAATTGTCTTTACTAGAATTTCATAGTCTTCAAAATTGTCTTCAGTTTTCTGAATATGATAAACAACTACAGTTTGAGAACCGGATCTATTCTTCAGAAGGTCCAGCACAATTTTTAATCCCTATAAAAGTTGAAACCACCCCCCCCCCCCCCAACTCTTTTCTTTTCATTTCGCTTCGTTGGAATTTCTCTTCTAATTACCAACTTCGTCATTAAGACGAGACGCCTTCTGAGATGTAAACCAAAAGCAAACAAGTAAAATGCACCAAAAGAGATGAGGGTCAGATTACGTTTGATTTTGAGAAGAAAGAGAAAATTGGTTTTAAAACTTTGTTCCGAGCCTTTCAAGTTTCAGTGCTTCCAGACCGAAGTTTTTCCAATACCTAGACTGGAGGAATCGCTTTGAAAATTTTAGTAGCTTCGAATCAAACGTAAAATTTTATTTTTATCAGTTTTCGTGCTCTCCGTTTGCCTTTGTCTAAAGATATAACCTTTTTTGTTAGTCCGGTTGATTGTGAGCTAACATTTTTATACTTTTGTTTTTTTGTTAATGTTAACAAAATTTGAAAAATAAGGATGGACATACAACTTTTAGCTGAAGGTCCTAAAAGTTAAAACTAGCAGGAAGCTATCTAGCGTTGTTGGTCTTTCCAAAAATATTACCCATACTATTAATTTAGGTTAGCTATACCAGCTATCCCAGACAAATAATATCTCCAAAAACGGAACCGTCTGTTCTATTAATGAAAGAAACAAAAAGAGAGAGGATGGTGTCATCTTATTGCATGCGATAGTCTCATCAAATTATAGCATCCTCTTCTCTTTCTCTATTTTTTCCCCATTTTTCTCCACCCCTCTTCTCTCTTTTCATATCTCAAGACCCCCATTATGACTTGGCTCTCTCTATATCTAGAGCATCTTATATTCACCCAATTTCGAAGCAAATTATGCAATTATAATTGGGTCGAGCTCTCTCAAAAATGCCAAAAAATTGCATGGTTTATGAGCCATATAAATGCAGAATTCTTCCAATTTTACTCGATAACTACTACTAAATATTCTGACGAAAAAAGTAAGTTTTGCCTCTTTGACTCTAGCAAAGATCAAACGGTATTCCTGAGTGAATAATAAAAATGAGTCCATTCTATTATTGCTCGAGAATACCCTTTGACAAGCTGAAAAGTGTTAGAAGAGGTTTTGATTATTTTTTTGAAAACTTGATTTTCAGTTTCAGCTGCTAGTAAAAGTGTACCATTCTAAAGATAAGCTGACTTTGAGTGTATAGGTCAAGGCTGAGCTACGGCCGACCGTTATTATTTTCTGTCAACATTGAAAATCGACGAAAACTCGACTTTCACGGATTTCGGTTAAAACCGCGGTGGCCTAGAAACTTCAAATTGCAAAAATTAGGCCACCATGTTAACATGGCTTAATAATAAGAACACACCAGGTGAATATCAGTATATTTCTAGGATGTTGACCATGTTGGCCTAGAAAACTCAGCTTGCAAAAGCTAGGCCACCATGTTGACATAGCTTAAGAATACACCAGGTGAATTCCAGGGCATTTCCAGACCATTTACCATGTTGGCCTAGAAAACTCAACTTGCAAAAGTTAGGCCATGTGGCCACGATAGCCTATCCTGAGTCTCGGACGGCCGCGACCACGATTTGCACAACCTCGATTCAGGCCTAACATAAGGATCTTCAAAAAATATCTGTAAACGAATACAAGAAAAAAAACTTTATTGTCAAATTTACAATACGATTGCACACATGAAATCAAAAGGAAAAAAAACAAAACTGCCCGTGTTTATTGTTAAGTAAAAAAAGAAGACATAAGGCAGGAGTGTTATGTGAAAGAAAAAAAAATTCAAAAAAAAACACCTAAAACTCAGTTGGCTGAGCGGAATTTGGCCGAGTCGTGGCTGCCGACTTGTCAACTAGGGGAGATCGGACAGAAGCCACTTCTACAGAGTTGGCACGTTGAACAAGGGTTTTTGGTGCGGCAGGTTGGTTGGGGTGGGATCGAAGGGTTCCTTGGCGAGTGGAGATTCCGGAATAGGAGATTCTGAAAAACTGATTTTTGAAGAATGTTATAAGAACGGGTATGTGCCACATAGGTTGAGATAGGACAAGCACAGTAAAACCTGTGACAGCCCACACTGTCAAATTGTTTATCATAATATCCAGGAGCCGAGAAAATTTGGTTCAAAGTTAAGACTTTATGGTTAGCCAAGACTATGAGGTCTTGTTTTTTTTAAGCGCCTACCTGGTTAATGGCAAGAGACTAAATAGTGTCTGACGATATCTAGAAGAAGTGAAGCTGTACACCAAGAAAGCTACGTAGCAGTTGATTAGGGAGAGAAGATCCAAAACATCGGCAAGATTTAGATATACCATTTGGTGGAATTGGGTGGTAAAGAGGGCTGGAACAAAGAATGTTAGGAAAAAGGATTCACCTAGAGTATTACCATTCATAATAGCCATGATTCCTTGTGGAAGTTCAGTGAACAAGAAGACAGTAACCATTAGAAGAAGCATGTAAGTTGTGAAGTCGCCTCGCTTCTTGGCACGCTCCTCTTTGATCAGAATCTTTCTCTTTTCGTTGTTTTCTCGAAGGCGATGGATGAGAGCAATGGTGAAGGTAAGCAGAAGAAGACAGGGTAGAGCCTGGAAGATTTTTTTGAGGAACTTCTACAATTTTAAAAATACAAACCTTCAAAAATATTCCAGTCAACCACAAATTGCCTTTCATCAAGAAACAACCATTTTGAAGCATTAATGTGGAGAAGCCAACGCTATAACGATAATACATTCCTGTCAATGTGACTCCTCTGGTTGTTTCGTCGATCTGATGTGCCAGAAGAGTGGGTACACACATGATGAACACAAAGAGGGCTATGAATATTGCGGATGTTCTGAATGTTTAATTTTGAAATCTCAATCAATGCTCTATTGCACTCACAATGCTCTGGTATGATCCAACCATCTTGAAGTGGTCAGTTTCATAGCAGACAGTCTTATGAATGCCATCAGCACAACCAGATACAGTGTAATGGCGTGTAGAGCGATGGACACCATTGCGTGGCACTTCAGGAATAGAGCCCAAATGTAAGGGTAGCCCTCTTTTTCGGGAAGAAACTCGAATCGAGATATATACAACTAAAAGTAAGTAATATTCAAATGTTCTAGAGAGTTCGGGTCCTCTTACCAAATACGAAGACATAGTTCCCATATCCGAAAAAGCTATACAGACTAGAACCGTGTGTACTGACGAGTGACGCATTCTGGGACGAGTGAGAACGCAGATGTGGATGAGGTTGGCAGCTAAACCCAAGATGCACAGGACGAATGAGAGGTACGGATGGACGTTTGAGTAAAGGCTGAAATTGGAGATTTTTTTTGGAGATTTTTTTGTTTTTTTGGAATCAGAAATTGAAATCCCGTAAAGCCTGTAATAGAAGGGCCCTTTAACTTTTAGCCATTTTATCTCACAGTCCCTATTAAAGATATGAAAAAGTGGGCAACTGATAAACTCTTAATCCTAAAATCGTCAAAATTTTGTCAGTCGACACATTTTGATATCTTTCCCAGGAATCAAGATAACTAACTCAAACTTGACAGCGGGAGCTTTGTATACGGTAACCAAAATCAAATCCAAAAGTTGCTCATTATGGATAGATACACTCCCATACAGTTATCTTTACCCAATTTATCTGGACCTATTTTATCTGGACCTATTTAGATATTTTGAAAGATTGCCATTTTTATACTTTCTTTGGGAACTGCAAAATTTGGGCTGGAAAAATTCAACCTATGAACGTTCAGTATTAAGTCTTGAAATACTGTAAAACATGTAATAGAATGTCCCTCGGAAGTTTGAGCTCAATTATCTCAATTTCTATGCAAGTTATCAAAAATAAGTCGACAGGGACCGAGATAAATTGGCTCAAAAATGAAAGCCTAAGGGTCCTTCTAGTTATCAGCTAGCTTTTGATCCAAACTCACTATCGAAATCGATAAAATTGCTCAATTATAAAGTAGGTCACATTGTTGGATGTGTCGAACAGTCTAGTATCATTGCATTCCATGTCTGAAAGTATAGTTGAATGATAAAAAATGGCAGTTCTAAGCAATTAGTAGAAACGAAATTCAGAATGACTAGAAAAAAACGAAAAAATAGAGGGTGTGAAGAAATGGGGGAAAGTTGGAAGAGAAGAGTTTTTCTGTTGAATAATTGGAAAAGAAAAATGTCAAATCCAGCTATTGGAGGTATGCTTTGGACACATTTTTCTCTGGATGATGTGACATTGGCAGGGAATAAGAAGAAATCATAACAAAAACATGGAACGAACATTTTGAATAAAAAAAACGATATGCACAAAATTTTTTTAGTATGTGGAGATTCTGGACTTCTAAAGCTTCCAGGTTGGAATGAAACTGACACCAACGCAAACAAAAAGTTATGAGTTCCATGAAATTGAGTCCAAGCCTAGGTTGATCAAAGTTTGACGCAAAATTAGAAGAAGGAAAAGGAGAAGAAGGAGGAAATAAAGTTTTCTGAGAATTTCAAGTTTGGAAAAATAGAAATTAGGAATCATAACACAAAACGAGGTCCATTCCCTGTTTCATTATGTGAACAAGATGTTTACAGGAACATGAGCTTTGATCTCATGGTTTTAATTATAAGATGAGTAATGTTGTGAAACAATGTCAGGGACATAAAAAAAAGGAAAAATCTGACTGCATTTTTGTAATTTTAGCAGATTACCGTAAAAACCTGTAATAGAAGGGCCTCTCTACATTGAAAAATTCTATTAGATTCTATTAGAAATTTCACAGTATAATTTTTTTGTGGGTTCACTATGGTTCTATTTTCAAATCAGTCGGAGGATTTATTTTCAAAAAGCCATCCTTCCAATTTTCAACTTCAAAACTGATTTAAAAAATTCCCTGCAAAATTTAAAGATCGACAGAATTTTTGAGTTCCAAACTTTTGCAAAATGTTTGTAAAAATACAGAATACTCAGTTTCAGATGCAAATAAAAACCTCCAAGAAAACAGAAGCCAGGAAACATCTGTAGGCGTTAGTTTTTTACAACAAGATTGACGGAGAAAAAAGTGGCAACAAAAGAGAAAGGCTCGGTTGGTCGTCAGCCGAGGTTGTTGAATAATTCGCAAGTGGAAAATATGAAATATTCTTTTCTCTTCTTTTTTCTAGACTGGCGATGACTTTGAGGATTTTAAGATCACAAGGGTGGTGAAGACTAAGGGTAGTCAACTGAAAGAATAGAATAGGATGAGCATTTTTGAATTTTAAATTCAGACAAAACATGTTTAGAAATGGTTAAACACGGAAGCTCGGCTTCACAAGAGGATTTTTAATCTTTAACCTTGAGCCATTTTATCTCGGTACCTGGCCAATATATAAACAAGTTGCCAACTAATAAAGTGTTAATCATGCTATAACAAAAATACTATAAGTTTACAGATTTTCGGTATTTCTTACAGTAACCGAGATAAATAAAGTCAAAGTTGGCTGTGTGGGTGCCCTTCTATCACAGTTTTTACGGTATCTGCGGGTAGCTTGTGTTAGATTGGACGATAAATATGCGGTGGAGCTCATTAGGCATCCCTAGAAATTTCTGCTGCTCTCTCTCTCTCTCTCTCTCTCTCCAAAAAACAAAACAAATGAGAAAAGCGAGTGGTATGGGATGAGAAAAAGAAATCTAAACAAATATTTGCGTATTTTTTTCGTTTCAGAGTTTTTTTTCGGACTGAAAATTGTGGGAATGTTTTTGGTCAATTTTTCGAGGACCTAATGAAGGGTTTTTCTGAAAGTCGGACGAAATGTTAACAAAGATTCGTGAGAGCTAGACTTTGTTCGGGACATTTTGGATTTCAGACTACAAGCGGGAGATCGAACAAAATATGTGAGGAAGATCTTCAAATAACAATACATCTTTATATTTGCCGGATCAAAATACAGTTTTCAAAAAAAAGTTGTCTAGATGAAACCGAACCGCCCGCGTGGGAGGGGTTACAAGAAAAGACAAACATTTAGGTACTAATAGTGCCAAAGTGTAAGTATTTCACAAGAGAGCGAATTCGAACAGATTGTACAGATCACGTATGAGGTGCATAAGAGGATCGCATATGCGCTCTACCGAAATGCCTTAGATTTGGTAGATATACCATATACCGTGAAACCTGTAATAGAAGGGCGCCCACACTGTCAACTTTAAGCCAATTTATCTCGGTTCATGTAAAATACTTCAACAAATTTTAATCAGGATATAACCAATATTTTACCAGTTGACAATTTTTTGATATCTTTCACAAAAAGCAAGATAATTGATCTCAAATTTAGCAGTTTGGTATTAGAGAAAATGTGGTTATTGTGCTTTTCCAAAAATGTTGAAGCATTGTATAAAGTTTGATGAAATAAAAAATACAAACAGATTTGAAATTTTAATACAATTTGAAAACTTTCTCGAGCAACAAATAAAAAAATAATAAAGAAAAATAAGAATGTGTATCCGATTGAACGATCAAGAGGATTTAAGGGAGTAAGGAGGACAAATGTGACGTCTGTGGGTGTAAGTATGAGACAGGATATATGAGGTCACAAAAAATCTACTAAAAAGTTACAAGGATCAATTGGATCTTTAGAGAACATGGCTGGATTAATATCATGGCGCCTCGGAATTATCATTTACGGAACTTCAGTTTTAAGTGACCATCGCTAGAACCTATTTCAATGGTTTCTCTCAATTTGACACAGATTAACCGTTATGATCATTTTTTGATCCCAACCATCCGTGACGTACTCGAAGGTTCTTATAGTGTAAAAACTAAACATATCTGAAGCTTATCTTATGACTTGAAAATTATCCGGGTTGATCTGAATTTTTAAGAAAACCGATTTCATCGAATACGTCAATTGTGTGAGAAAGTTTCGATGTGTCTGATCTTGCAAAATCGCTAGTCAATTATCAAAGGAATGTAATTAGTCTGGAATTGAAGGTTCATGATTAGTTCAAAAATTTGCAAAAAAAAAGATAACAAAAAAGAGAGACATCAAGGAATCAGTTTTTCAGCGATCTCAGAAAATGTAGCAACAAGCTGGAATGGAATTTTTTAATCTGCATTTTTTTGGACTTCAATAATTGGTCATACTTACATCAGGTTCTGTGCTCAAATGAAACAGAAAGCTACCAAAAAGCACTTTTTACAGAACTCTAAATGACTTCTAGGCAGTATTTATATATCGATCACCCCACAGGAAACGAAACATTTTGATGATGGATAGCGCTAACTAAATATTCGCAGATTCTCACTGATAATTTATTATCTTCCGGATAACCACAAGCGTTTGTTTTTGAAGCAATAATATGATAAGAAAAAGAGACAAGAGGACGTTGTAATGTTTGGTAGGAGAGCTTTCATAAAGATGATTACTTAATGTGACAGCTCGGATATTTGTGGGTTTGAGCATGAGAGCCAAAGGATAGCCATATGTTACTTTGAGTCAAAAACGTGAAGGTTCTCAAACAACAGCCTGTTGATTTAGAGCTAAACTTTTAAGAAAAGGATCCACACGGCTCCGCGTCACTTCGAAACCAGTCATTTCGAAACCGGTTCAAAACAGTAGTAATACTGAAGGACCGGTCCAATTTCAGACTACAAAAACAACTTCAGGGTTTTCAAACATGCTTGTTCTGATAGAACACATTCTGAAAATCGAAAAATTTAAGAATTTTTCGGCTTTTGAGAACATCAAATTTTGGATTTTTTCGATTTTCATTATGTGTTCTATCAGAAAAAACAAATTTGAAAACCCCTAAAGTTGTTTCTGTATTCTGAAATTTGTCCATTCGCCTACATTACCACGGTTTCGAAATGACCGGTTTCGAAGTGACGCGGAGCCATCCACACATAGTCAAGTTTAATCACAGTTATCTCAATTCCTATGCAATATTTCAAAAAAAAAGTCTACCGATTAAAAAATTGTGTTTTTACGACCAACATTTAAACAGCTGACCACTTTTCGATATGTTTAACATGAACCGAGATAAACTAGCTCAAACTGAACAGTGTGGAGGCTCTTCTATTACAGGTTTTACAGTATTGGAAATTAGAAACATGTTGCAGAGCTCAACCGCAAAACTAATAAATAAAATGACCCAAAAGACGTACAAATTCTTATCAGCTTAAAATTTAGGAAATCACAAACAAGATCATCAAACAAAAGTAGGTTTTCAGAAGTTCGAAAGTTCTCTGAAAAATCGCAATTTGCCAAAATCAAGCACTCAAAAATTAATTTCCACTTCTCACCAGACTAGACATACATACCTAACTGTTGTAGGTACTATTTATTTTATTTCCAAAAAACCGCCTTTTGCACGTAGGTCAAAACCTTTTCTAGAACTACTAATGCACTACTCACAGGGAAGCCATTTTTTTTTGGGGGGGGGGATGATCTATGTCTAGAACTTTCTGGAACTTTCTAATGAACAAATCTTAAAACTTGATCTCTAGGAAACTAGAAACTATGAATATGTATTTGTTTATAATTTGTTGCTAGAATCAAAAGATAAGTTCCCACTATGGGAAAACTGGACAACATTTGCAACAGACTCGCTCATTTTCTAATTGAAATTTTCTAGAAAAATTCATTGTATCATGTCAAAAATGAAAAGATCAAGTCCTTTCTTGAGCAGAAAAAAAAATAAGCGAGTACTCTTGTTTTTGCTCACATATCTCTCCATGTATACTCAATAAAAATACATTTTCTTTTCAGAAAAATGTCCACACAAGGGATACTTCTGTGTTGGCTCAAAATAATAATTGGAGCAGCAAAAAGGACAAGAGTGGGCAGAGATAGAGACAAAAAGGATTCAAGATACAATTTTTTAGACCGGGAAAATAGGAAGACATGGCAAAATGACAAAAGCGGAATTGAAAATAAATAATGTCAGATATATTCCCAAATTAGATATGCTTTTTTATTTGAAGCTCATTCCTTAACAAAAAAAAACAAAATGCAGACATCGAGCAGAAACAGAGACTAAACATGTCATTAGGTGAA